GCTCCAAGATCCAGAGCTTTAAAAAAATAGGGGTTCAAGGCTGCAGGGAGCTCCACGATGTTAGATTTCTCACATGAGCTGTAGTCCTTAAACCATTTATCACAGCCATACAAGTAAGTCATCAAAGTTGGATAGAAAATCTATCGTACAGATTGATGCTTCCAACTACTAGTTTATATTGGCTTCTACTGAACACGTATAGGTTTGAATCCAACTTCAAACAAACAAAATAATTAGGATATCAGCTGTTTTGTTCTAGACTAAGGAAGCTATGAATGTCTTGTTGTAACACGGCATTACAGAGTTATTGTGAATGTTTTGGTGGAATTCAGTGGGGAAGGACCATAACTAAGGAAGCTATGAATGTCTTGTTGTAACATTCATGATAATTCTGTAATGCCTGTTTTGATGGAATTCAGTGGGGAAGGACCACACCTCTTTCAGCATGATGGTGCCACATTGATTGTAATGTACAACAGTAGTTTGAGATAAATAACATTCAAAATCAGTACTGGCTTCACCTGGAACCCTTATACGAATCCAACTGAATCCTCTGGGACAGTTAAATTTTTAGAACATCACATGTGGAACCAAACCTTAGAATACAACAACCCAGATGTTTGGAAACAGCTGGTGGTAAGTGTTATCGGCAGTGTCCAGGCTGTTCTCAATATCAAAGACTTCAAAATGGAGCCCAATGAAATTAACATGGCCCTTTCCTCTTCAAGATATATGTTTTAATAATATATATATATTTGTCAATCTCTGATTACACATTGTTAAATGAGAAACAGGATGTTAGAAATCCCAATTCAGCACTTTTGGAGGCCGGAAATACTCACCGTTCCATCCCTCGCAAGAAGGATCGAGTCACTTTTAACATCCCTATGAATTACTCCCTGGGCATGAAGAAAGGCGAGAGCCTTCAGGCATTGCTTGCAGACAGTGGCTATCTGGTCCTCATGAATCCTGATCACAAGAGATACATAATAACTTACATTAGCAAATATTAGTTTTTGTTGAAGGTTGTTCATGATTATTTTACATAATGAAAAACATAATTACCAGCTATTAAAAAGTATTGAAGTAAATATTATTCATTCAAAACTTTTTGTTATAAATACACTATTTACAGATTCTATATTTATAACATTAAATACAGTTTTAAAAATCTACTTAAGTTTTAAAAGTACAATAATACTCAGTTTAACGCTCAGGAAGGATTTCTGAGAACAGAGCTTTAAATGAATCGGCTTTAAACAGGGTCATTTTAACATTACATATATGGAGATATGTAACTGAAAGCATTGTTTCTTACCTGTGTATGATGTATAAGTGTTTTATTTAGGCACTGGTAAATTTCATGTAAATTAATCACTACAATATCATCATCACTGGAAAAAAGCAAATTTTTTATTAGCCTTCAATTTTGTTTGGTTACAGATCCTCCTGCAATGCCCATCTGTCACATCCTCTCCTTTAAGGATTTGTCAATACATGTAGTTCTCTCTTATGTTTACGACTATATTAGTTATAACCAATAGACAGACAAGGTTTTTGTCTGTCAAATGACGTATTATATTATGTACAGAGATTTGTAGATCGCTTCCTAAGAAAATGTTTGTTTTTTTTAACCACGAGAACGATATTGTGTAGATAAATGACATTTTAAAGGTTTATATTGCATCGCTAGAAATGCCAGAAAATTTGTGGTAGTTACAGGACATTGTCTGCTTTTTGCATGTTATTATTCTATTTTCTTTATTGCATTATTTTATTAAATAAAAATTATTTAGTGCACTACTACCATTAGTATGAAAAAGTAGTGTTCAGACAGTTGTGGACTTTCATAATTTTTCTCTCTCTCTCGTGAAAAAAAATCTCTCAAGGACACAAGAGCTCTATAACAAATCAGCTTAAAGCGAAGTATATTTAATTAAAAGTGTACCAATAGGACTTATCATACCATTAGTCTACTAAACTATAAGGACTGATAAGAAAAATAGAACCAAAAAATAACAGAACAAGTCCAAATGGGACTTATCATACCATTAGTCTACTAAACTATAAGGACTGATAAGAAAAATAGAACCAAAAAATAACAGAACAAGTCCAAATGGGACTTATCATACCATTAGTCTACTAAACTATAAGGACTGATAAGAAAAATAGAACCAAAAAATAACAGAACAAGTCCAAATGGGACTTATCATACCATTAGTCTACTAAACTATAAGGACTGATAAGAAAAATAGAACCAAAAAAT